AGCCGCCCCAGGCCTGGCACTAGCGGCAGCCTGCATTGGCTCATAGCTTGGCCTCTCCTGGACACCTCCAAGCCCAGCACAAGGAGCAGCCAACTACGGTTTGCTGTGTAGCTCATGCTGGGTGGCCCTGGGCAAGGCACTGGCACAGGCTGACTTTGCACCTCTGGGGAGACCTCAGAGACGGTGCACCTAGTGGTCAGACTCGACCACGCTAGATTACAACCCTACCACATCCAGGAGTGACACACTCAAGGTGCCCACTTGGTGAACACCAAAGGCCCACTGAAGTAAATCCTGCTCCATAGGGGTGTCTCCAGCACAGCAGCTCTCTGGCTGTAGTTGCAGCTGGTCCTCACAGGTGATTGGCCTGGGGGTCAGTTCCTCCCAGGGATGCCAACAGCAACCAAGGCTCAACTACAACAGAACAGTACACACAGCCCACACAGGGGAGCAACTAGAAGGCCCAGCTCAGGTGACTGGGGAGGCTGAGCCCCTGGATCCTACAGGACACCTACTACACAATGCCACTCTACCAATTCCAGGAGACATAGCAGCTCTACCTAATACATAGAAACAAACACCTGGAAGCAGCCAAAATGTGGTGGCAAAGAAACATGTCACAAAGGAAAGAACAGAAGAAACCTCTAGAAAAGAAAATAAATGAAATAGATCCAAGCAAGCTAACAGACAGAGTTCAGAATAATGGTTATAAGGAAGCTCAAGGATATTAGTAAGAGTATGATGAAAATAATTGAGAAAATCGATGACAAAATAAAGGTCCAATTTGAAATGAAGGCTACACGAACTGAAATGAAGAATAATTGACAGGGAATCAACAGTAGAGTAGAGGATGCTGAGAATCAAATCAGCAATTTGGAACATGAAGAAACAAAAACACTCAACCAGAAGAGCAAAAAGAAAAAAATCCAGAAATATGAAGATAGCATAAGGAGCCTCTGGAACAACTTTAAGAGGCCCAATGTTCATATTATTGGGGTGCCAGGAAGAGAGGAAAGAGAGCAAGAAATTGAAAATCTATTTGAAAAAATAATGACAGAAAACTTCCCCTACCTGGGCAAGAAATAGACTTACAAGTGCAGGAAGCACAGAGGGTCCCAAACAAGAGGAACCCAAAGAGTCCCACAGCAAGACATATCATCATTAACCTTTATCCGATGAAAGGGAACTTTAGTTCCCAGCAAGGAGTGGGTCCTGCTGGCCGAATTTAAATGCTGACGGAATTTAAATGCCGTCTTTAAGGTTAAATACTCAGAAACCTAAGCATATACTTTCTTTTTTACAGGCAAAAGGAATGAAACCATTATTTGTACAGTTGATCCTGGAAAATATATGGAGTTTGTATGATGCTGTCTTTTAAATGCCATCTTTTAAAGGTTAAAATGCCAAAAGTTAAAGACAAAAAGAGAATCTTAAAAGCAGTACAAGAAAAGCAATGAATTACCTACAAGGGAGCACCCATACGAATGTCAGCTGATCTCTCAAAAGAAACTTTGCAGGCCAGAAGGGAGTGGCAAGAAATATTCAAAGTGATGAAAAACATGGAACTACAACCAAGATTACTCTACCCAGCAAAGCTATAATTTAGAACTGAAGGTCAGATAGAGAGCTTCACAGACAAGAAAAAGCTAAAGGAGTTCATCACCAAACCAGCAATCTTACATTACATGAAATGTTAAAGGGTGTTCTNGTTCACCACCAAACCAGCACTACAGGAAATGTTGAAGGGTCTTCTTTAACAAGAAGCTAATGAACAAAAGAATCTGATGAACTAAATAGATCCAGAGACATTGAAGCATGTAACAGACGATCATATTTCAGGGGGAAGAGGAAAGGTAGGTGGAGGGTGGGGAGAGATTAACCAAAGAAGTTATATGCATATATGCATAACCCATGGACA